CATTACACAGTGAAGTTGCTTCTAGAAGTGAAGAAGCAATGTGACAAGAGGCAGGGAATAACCCAGATATTTCAATTCCTTAAAAAAACCAAACCCAACACAAACCCAAAACAACACAACATAGGTCATGTCTGAAGAACTATGTCCTTAAGCACCTTAGAGACTACATGTGCCCAACACCTTCTCATAACGCTGCCTCTAATCAAAAGCCTTTATTTTTCCTCCCAGAACTCAGAAGAAGAGTTGATTTCCCTGGTTCTATCCAGCCCTATGTAAGCTGGACATTGTCACAAGTATCCGGGATTTGCCAGAAAAATTAATCTCATCTTTTGGCTTTCAGAAGATCCCCCAACACTATATTTATGCAGTCCTGTGATTAAGTGCATGATTGGAAAGGATTTAAAACTTGTATGTTATTATTTTAATTCTCTGTGTGTGTGAAGAGGAGCCTTTAAGGTGCCTGTTCTATTTATTCCTTGTGCAAGGTTAACAGCCACCCCACCCCCCCAAAAAAAAAAAAAACAAAAACCCAAAGCAGTTCAGTTAATACATATCAGGTGATTATTTGGCTATGCACATTTTTAGATAGCTTACACGTGCTCAATTCTGACTTAACGCATATATGCATGCATACATATATGTGTACCTATACACATATTTATAACAAGTATTGAAATTGAAGTAGTAAAAGGCCAACTGACTTGTCCAAGTTCACAGGTGGAAGACAACTACAGAATCCTGTATTAGAGACAGATGTCGAGTTTTATGTCTGCACATGACCTACAAAGCTATCATTCCACCATGACAGGATATGAAGAACTAGAAGATTTAAGTTTCACATCCCTACTTATTGATGTTCTTGCTTGCTACTCACCAGCTGAGGGATCTAAACCATGGTAAATCATACGAATGGTAGACTCTGTAACCTATAGTAATGATTTCATGGTAACACTTCACTTGGATGCTTAAGACCTAAAATAAGAGAAATAAAGAACCGTGTAAAGATGCTGCAATTGTTTCTTAAAGGCACTAAGTAGTACTGCAACCTGCATTAAGGGGAGAAATTATTCTGAATTCAAATTCCACACAGAAAACAGACAGCTTCAAAGCAAGTCCAAGGAAAACTAAAGCTCCATTTAAACCCCCCCAAAAACCTCAAAACCACTAGGCATGCTGAGAAAAAACACATTGGGCTAGTGTTCTGGTTTCGGCTGGGATAGAGTTAATTTCCTTCCTAGTAGCTGGTAGAGCGCTGTGTTTTGGATTTAGGATGAGAATAATGTTGATAACACACCGATGTTTTAGTTGTTGCTGAGCAGTGCTTACACTAAGTCAAGGACTTTTCAACTTCTCGTACTGCCCTGCCAGTGAGAAGGCTGGAGGTGCACAAGAAGCTGGGCAGGGACACAGCCAGGACAGCTGACCCAAACTGGCCAAAGGGACATTCCATACCATATGATGTCATGCTGAACAAAAAAAAAAATGGAGCAAGTTGGCCAGGGCGGGGCACGACTGCTGCTGAGGAACTGGCTGGGCATCGGTCAGCAGGTGGTGAGCAATTGCATTGTGCATCACTTGTTTTGAACATTCTTTTACCATTGTTATTATCTTTCCTTCCTTTTCTGTCCTATTAAATTGTCTTCATCTCAACCCATGAGTTTTACCTTTTTTTCCGATTCTCTCCCCCATCCCACTGGGGGGGAGTGAGCAAACGGCTGTGTGGTGTTTAGCTGCCTGCCGGGTTAAACCACAACACCTAGCTGCAAGAATACGCTCGTGAAACAAAGGAAAGCTCCTGATTTTTCTTCATTAAAACAGTTTGGCAGCAGCAGGTCAAAAGAACTTCCTGTAAAGAAGGCTCTTCTATTTCTTTTGTCTAAGTTTTATCTTTAAATTTAGTCTAAGAAATATTTTCTAGGCCCAATGGAAAAAACTAGCTGTGCAACATAACTTGGACACCCAGGTCTTCCACTTGCAAGTGTCTCATTAAGGGCAATTAGCACCGATGATTAGAAGCAAAGCTCGTCTAACCCAGGTCTGAATGTCACACCCTCCACGGCCCTCATTTTGTTTTGCCGATCTCACTACGTCAGTGCTTGCCCATGCAAGTCTGGTAGTACGTCCTGTCAGTCTTTGGGCTCCAAAGGACTCTCTGCCACTTTTGGCTAATCCACAGTCACCAAGCAGATTGCCCTGCCCAGATATCGAGTATTGCCAAACACAGGTCAACAGTAATCCCATGCAGAGGCTGGAGTAAGAACCTACCCACACCAATTGCACGTCAGCATGCTAGGCTTTGCAGTATTCTCTTACCACCTGCATTGATGAATAAATTTCACCTTGCTCAATGTGTGAACACAGTTTAAAACAGTCTTACACCACCTCAGTGAGTTAATTTTGAAGCTCCCCTATCTTGTGCTCTTTCCTCTGCTTGGCCTATGTTATAAAACTTAAATGCTATATGCAAGAGCAACATTAAAGGATTGCACCTTACAGTGGAAAAGGACACTGGGGTCCAAAGGCATGGAAGCTTGTGCCTGTTACCTTAGTAGCAGGCAAACGTAAAACACGCCTCCCAGCTTTTTAGAACAGTCTCAGGGCTTGTCCTCCAAACTTCACTGGATTACCCTTCCTGCAAGTCTCTGAGCATTTTCATTCTCAGTATTAAGATTTGGTTTTAGCATGACAACTCTTGTTTAAATGTAAGCTATTTGATTCCAGTGAAATGAAATAATTCATGAACAAAACTGGTTTTTCCCTCCATTCTTCTTTTTACATAGTCTCAAATGCCAACTTTATAAACAGTTTATTACATTAGAAGACAGAGTTTTTGCTTTATGGTACAACAGAGGAAGAACTCTATCACAATTCTATACTTTAATTACTTTTTGGTTCATCTCTTGATAGCTTTGCCCATGATTGCAATCTCAGCGTATACCATGAATATACCAAATCACGCTGCAAATTGATTAGTTCGGTTTTGTTCGTTATCATCATTCTCAAGCGTAACAGACTACTAAAGGAAAGATTGCGAAAAAAAATATCTCTCTGCAATGACCTGCACTTTAAAGGGGCTGTTCTTGTTGTTTCTTCACACACAAAAAAGAAAATCCTACACCAACAAAACAATGAATTACTAGTTTGTTATGTCATTCACCTGAAAACAGGAAATATAAACCAGACTAATTCAGATGTAGAGACTGTAATGCAGACCGTAATACTGGTGAAACAGCATTCCAGTCTCTCAAGACAATACAGGGGAAAAAAAGGGAGTTTACGACCTTTGGAAGAAGGGGCAGGCAACTCAGGAGGACTACAAGGATGTTGTGAGGTTATGCAGGGAGAAGATTAGAAGGGCCAAAGCCCAACTAGAACTTAATCTGGCTACTGCCGTAAAAGACAATAAAACAAATGTTTCTGTAAATACATTAGCAACAAAAGGAGGGCTAAGGAGAATCTCCATCCTTTATTGGATGCAGGGGGAAACATAGTGACAAAGGATGAGGAAAAGGCTGAGGTACTTAGTGCCTTCTTTGCCTCAGTCTTTAATAGTAAGACCAGTTGTTCTCAGGGTACCCAGCACCCTGAGCTGGAAGACAGGGACGGGGAGCAGAATGAAGCCCCCATAATCCAAGGGGAAATGGTTAGTG